AGAGAGAGAGAGAGAGAGAGAGAGAGAGAGAGAGAGAGAGAGAGAGAGAGAGAGAACTGTAATAATAAAGTAAATAAGTGTTGAATTGTATGAATGAATGATTGAGTGTTGAAAGTGTTGAACATGTGATCAAAACTAGAAATAAATGCTTTATTTGTGTCTCAAATGAAACGTTAATTGTATTGAAAGACAATCAGAAGAGAAACATCTGATCGACAGTTGTGTCCAAAGAGACAATTGTGTCCCGAAATGACCTGCACTTTGAATCCATACGACCAGAGGTTTGTTGACTGGGATTACATCTACAATCTTAAGGATGAGACCAAAATCGGGGATCAATTCTCGCAAGACTTGTGGCACTTATACGACACTCAAAGCCTTCACTTCAAAGACATCGCTCGCAAGTCATGGATCAGACGAGACTTGTCTCAGTGTTTGACCACTTCTTTCGCTTACGACAACTTTGTCGATATCTTCATCACCGGATCCACTGTTAATGGTTTTGGCACAAGAGATAGCGACCTGGATCTGTGTCTTGTGGTCAGTGAGTTCTGTCCTCTGGAAGAGATGCGAAAGAGCGACAAATTGGCGATTCTGTCAGAAGTGGAGGACATTGTGTGCCGACAGCTGGAGGTGGAGGAGAGCCAAGTGATCGACGCCAGAGTCCCGATCCTCCGCTACATTCACCCGAAGACTCGGATTCAGGTGGAGATCAATGTGAACAATGAGATCGGTTTGAAAAACTCCAGACTTCTCTACTGTTACTCAAAACGTAAGACAATAATCACTTCTCTCTGCCATTCAATCCATTGATTTACTAATCGTTAGATTAACTTAATCTTCAATCGCAAGACTTAACGCAAAACTCGTTTTCATACCAAAAAACAAATAAAAAAAGACATTAATTTTTGTAATCAAGCGATGAATCGATTGAAACAATGCATTGAATACTAGACATGATTTCGCAATCGATATATAGATCATTGGATTCACTTATTGTGTGAATGGACTATAAATGACATCAAAATTATTAAATCTCTTTAATTTTCACTTTTTTATCTGGAAATTTAAATCTCAAATGAATTAATTGTTCCCACATTTGTCTCCCATATGTGTAAGTGGACTGGAGGGTCGCCCCCATCTGTATAGCCATCAAACTGTGGGCCAAACACTTCGAGATAATTAACTCGTTCAGCGGTTCCCTCTCCAGCTATTGCGTGGAACTGATGGCCATCTTCTATCTGCAGAACACGAGTCCACCACTAGTGCCGTGTCTTCAGGAGACAGACAGTGGGCTGTTTGGGGTGAGAGCCGAAATGTGGGACTACTTAGAACTGCCGGATTTGAAACAATTGAAGTCCACTTCGTTCGCCACCGCAAACGAAGAGAGTCTTTCGGAACTGTTTGCGGGTTTCTTCCGGTTCTACGTCCAGGTGTTTGACTTCAATAGACACGTGGCGTCCGTACGGTTGGGCCGTATTCTCGAGAAACAACATTTCGTCTCTCAAATGGATTCAATGCAATGGCAATACATCTGCGTTGAGGAGCCCTTCAGCGGCCACAACGCCGCCCGAACTCTATATAATCCGGTCGCGTATGACATTGTTATTCAACAAATGGTTAAAATGTATAATGCAATCGATTGTCTGTATTGTCAATGTCCTCATAGATCACAATCTCATCACTAATTCCTCTATTAATTTCCCATTTATTGCTTTAATTTCTTTTTTGTATTAATGTTTGTTATATACTGTATTGTATATCAGTCTTATTGTGTGTTTATTTAAACAAAAATCTTATAACTTTTAATTGAAACAAGTTTTAAAATTACATTTCATTACATATTGTGTTATAATCGACATATTTCAACAGTAATTTGGTTTTAAACCCCTTTTTTACTTTAATTGAAAGCTATGTTTAGAATTTGAAAAATGTTTTACAAACAAATGCATGTTTTATTCATTTACAGATAATGTCATGAATTAATTGTTAAAAATTAATACCTTTTTAAAAAGCAATTAACAGTAAATTTTCATATTTTCAAACATGTATTTAATTTTGAAAATGTTTTGCAGTTTTTAATGATAAACTCGTCTTAAAGAATAATCTCGTTATGCAATCAATATTACATTTTATGCAATATTTATCGCGATTTTCATAAAATGTTGAGTATTTTTATCTAAATTCATATTATTAGCGACGGATTGTATAAAATATAAATAATTATTCAATTATTAAAATTTTTGAAACATTTGTCTTTTGATTATTAAATGAGAAAAACATGTGAAACATTGCCTCTAATCTTGAAGAATCGCTGCATTTATGTTGTATAACAAACACATCGATTAAATATTCAACACAAATACAGTTATATATTATAATACATTTGCCGTTAATTTGAAGCGATTTAGTGAACTTATGGGACATCTTATCGCATTGTTTCGCATCGTTTCAAACGCTTGTCAATGAGTTTGTAATTTTGTTTAACAGATGTGTGTTTTTCAAGACATAGACACAGTCTTTGAGTGTCTCTCAGTAGTGAAAGCTTAGGATTTAAGCTATTGTTTCGGTGGACGAGAGAGACAACTGAATTGAGATCATAAAAGCGTGTCATTTGAGGGCTAAGTCTAACAATTTTTTGGGCGTTTAGTTAGTAAACCGAAAAACTGAAAGCATTTATATATACAGTATATATAATATATATTTAGGCATTAGTTTCAAAAATTCATGAGAAAGAAAAAAGAGCTCAAGAAGTGGTTTACGAGCAAAATATCGTTGTCTTATATAATATTTTATTCATGACTGAAGAAAAGTACTAAAAGTTTTTCTATATAAAGTATTTATTGTTTTTTTGTTGGTTTTCAAAATCAAAACTTTTCATTAGTGAACGAAATAAAAAAAGTTTTTGTTTGTTTAAGAAAAAGAAAAAAGTTTTTATTTGTTTTATAAGTTTCATCTGATTTGCAAATACAGTTCAAATGAAAAATTTAAGTCTTTTGTTGGCAATTGAATGCATATTAGTGTGTATTTTGGTTGTGGATATCGACGATGTGCTGGTATCGGCTCAGGCGCCGGTGGCTGGTTTTGACCTTGCTACTGTGGTCAGAGGCATGATTCCACACGTGCCCGGAAAGCTCATCGGTTTAATACAACTGAGCCTTTTGTCCCGATTGTTGCGGAATCGGCGCCAAAATCGTATTACAGACGCCGGAAGTAATGGCATAGACGACGACCGCGACGGACAGGTCGACGAAAGCGATGAAATGGGATTAGATGTCGGCAACAAGAAGAATGTGATGGTCTTTCTCGGCAAACATAACATCCAAGTTAGCAATCATGGGATGCAAAAGTGAGTTCACATTTCATTTATTATCACTATTTAAATAAGTTTTTTTGTAAACCAGTTAATACACTTACAGTATATTTAGTCTTTTATTAATTAATTAGTTAAATTATACATTTACTACAAGAATATAGAGATTAACACATTTAGTATAAGTCAATACATTATATAAAATATTATTTTTGAAGTTTTTATAAAAAATTATAAATAAATTATAGAAGATTTTATACAATAGTTTTGAATATTTATAATAAATAAAATGAAATTCTTTAGTGAAGAGGAAGAGGATGATGACGACGATGACGACGACGACGACGATGACGATGATGATGATGACGACGATACTGCTAGTGATAGCTATACGACCGCTGGCTATGGAGGAACCGCTCAGTCATATGGCGGCGATTCATACGGCGCTGCGACTGAAGACGACACTAAAACCGCTAAAAAGAAGACCGAAAAGACCAAAAAGTCAGGCAAAAAGTCCGCAAAGAAAGGACAGAAAAAAGCGACAACTGTTGGTTACGACGGCGTCCCTCATAGTTATGATGATAGCGATGAAGGCCTCGCATATCAACCAATGATGGTTTACGCCAACACTAACCCAAAGCCAACGCAAACCCGATTTCCATGGCTTCGAAAGATTATTCCTTTGGGTTCGGGAGTCGAAGAGCCCATCAGCGAGAAGGCCATTGACATCGACAGCGGTTTCGGTAAAGACACGGATCACATAATGGCGTCACCCAATGGTTTCCCTATCGGGGGCTCAAAGTTGGAGGGCTTTCACAGTCGAAGCGATATTGAAACCCCGGATGAAGACCTCTCGATTGACGATCTCTTAACGTACGAGCCGTCAGAGTCTGAGATCAACGAACTCTTAGCCCATCCGGAAGTGATGGAGTTATTGACGCAATTGAATGATAGCCTCAAACACGAAGAACCCATCAAACGGAAGAAACGACAGGTGAAGGACCAGAAAGTTAACAGCAGTTTGACTGCCGGCGACTCCCAGTCAAGCAATCACTTCATTCCCATTACCAGTGATGGCAGCTATGGTTTGCGGACGAATCGCAACTATTCAAACCTAATGCCACAGTATCTCAAAAACAGTCTCATTTATACTTCACTATACAATCCATTGAATGGCCAAAAGTCTGCAACGATTCCCACGAATAGACATTTAATCGATGAATTGAACGAATTGGAGGAACAGTCAGTCTTGGAATCAATGCTCGAACCGCAAGAATCGGTCAATTCATACAAAACAAAAAGTTATCAGAATTACTACAAACCACTGCCCCTATCATCGAAACAAAAGGCGAGTCTAATGTCGGGTACAATGAATCAGATGTCGGTCACCGACGACGACCAGTACAGTACGAACGGCGGTTACGGCAACTCCGGCTCCAATAGCGGCTCAGATAGCGGCTACGGTAGCGCCGGTAGTACTGGTGGCTCATACTCTACGGGCGGCACGACTGATATGAGCGGTATGTATGGAGGTATGGGTGGTATGGGTAGTAATCTGCCGGTTATGGACCTCAGCTATTGGACCAAAATGATGAACAAGAATACATATTCGGGTAACTCTCAAAACTCTTACGCCAATACATACGCGACGACAGAAACGCCCGACGATTACGACGACGACGACGATGAGGATGAAGAAGAGCCCAAGAAGTCACACACGACTATACAAGTGATTAACGCCGGATCTAAGACCGGAAATCTTGACATGAACTCCGGTGATCAGTGTTGCGATGACAGCGGCAGTCGGTCGGGCGTAAGGTCTTGGATGCGAAATCTGCCCGGATTTAGATCAATGTTTGGCAGAGCTAACGGTTAATCCGCTAAACCGTTAATTAGGGCTCATTTTTTTGTATAAAAAATTGAAGACAAAAATTAGAAAAATATAAAAAGCGATAAAAATATAATTTTTTGGTGACTATTAATAGATTTTTTTATAAAAAGTAATTGTTATTCAAATGCGAATCCAGAGGTGCCTTAAAAACATATATAAAAAACTTTTTTTTTGAATAAATAATTACCGGCATTAATATTAAGTGACAAATCATTTTTAACTAGATCTTTATAACTGCTGTTATGTTATGTTATGTGTAAACGTCCTCTTAATTGTCTAAAAATACTTACTTTTATCTAATAATACTAATACTGTAAAGCATTTGCGAAAATTGAATGCACTGTATATTAATATATTTATAATTGTCTTTTCTGTGACCCTATTCTCCCAATTTTCCTAATCTGACAATTAATCAAATAATTACTTTCAATATTTTCTGTATGTTTGTGTATATTGTTATATATTTGTTGTGCAAATCTTTATTTAACTATTTAATAATAATTTACTATATATTTTTGCAACACTCTTACCATTGACTGTGATTTCTAATGAAATTTCTTTTTTAAACAGAATTTTAAATATAAGTATCAACTCTTGTGTGAAATACTTAATCTTTAACTTGAAATAAATAAAGTGAATGTTATTCTCATTAAACAAAAGTAATTTTTTCTTAAGTATACAATTGATTGAAGATCACACTTATATCTTGTCGATGGCATACAATATAATTAAGATATTCTGTACGATTCATATGATGTGATACTTATTATTTATAACATGTAATTAGGATTTCGAGACATTTATTGTTGTCTATCTCTCAAATCAATGATGAACTCATATATTGAAGCTTTTGATGTGTTATTGCATATTATTATCAGAATCTGATTTCCACTTAACTGTTTAGCAATTAATTATATGAATATTGTAAACATTTTATTTAAATTCTTTAGTTATTGACAATAACTTATAGTATACGCCTAATATGTGCCGTATGTGCCTAATATTGAGAGACACTTCAAAATAATAAGAAGAATTACGAAATGTTTTATCAGAAAGACTGACATATATTAAAATTAGACGTTTAGCTCTGTATTCATGATATCGATTGAAAATACTATATTTTAATACTATGTTTGGTATCTTTTATCTGATAGCATAGAATAGCCTCAAACTAATTAAAAGCGTCTATTCATTAGTGATATAAATATACAACAAATTTGAATACATTTCCCATGTATTTAGACCTGCAAATGAAATATTCATGTTTTCATTAAATTTTAGTTTATTTTATTTCATTTAAACATAATTTGTATATCTAATGATGTTTTTGTTTGTTTTGTGAGATAATTAGTGGTTATTGAAAAAATATGTATATGTGTTGACAATATTTGCCAAAAACTAATAGTCGCTATTGTTATGATTGATTAGAGTTAAGGATTATTGAGTTTATGAGTTATTGGCATTAATTATGGTTATGTTGACGACCACCCGCTTATGATCTCAAATATTATCATTTTAACCAATATCTAATATATTAGTGATATTAATACTACAAATATTAATCATAAATGATAACAAATCACTTGATTTAAACTAAATGTGTTCCTCCCGTCTCTTAACAGCTAACCCTTGTTTTATAATTTATACACAATTTATATGTTAGTTACATATAGTGTACTCTAATATATAGTTAATATTTTAAAAACACTTTTGTGATTGAATAACCACGGCATATTAAAATCATCCCTTATTTCATAGAACTCTTTTAATTTAAACTAATGTTAGCGCAAATGTATTGAAGAATATTATGTACTGTATTTTGCAAACAAAATATTCGTATAGTTTTATAACAATTTTGCATAAAATTGATTATATTTGAAGAGATTATATGTTATATTTAATAAAACAAATGAGAAGATTATTGATTATTTTTCTTCTCTCCAGATATTAAACTCGATATTTGTAATCAATTACAGCATAAATCATATTAATTGCGAGTTTCTATGAA